GATATACAAATTGTAGGCGCCTATAACTGCATGCAATCCACCAAGTTTAAGACCTTTCTGACAAACACTGCAGGCTGGACATGATTGCAAACTTTTTTAGGCTTGGTCAGTTAACTTGACCTGGTGACATGACCTGACGTGACCTGGGGTCAAAAATTTCACACATTGTCCAAAATTGATGTACCAAAAGCTACCCCAAGCGGCGCGGCGCTACGCGCCGCGGTTTTTTATTCACACGCAAAAAACGCGACAGGGTGGTAAAATATGCCCCCCCCCCCACTGGGGCGAAGGTTAATTGCATTGCAACAGAAGGGTCTTTCCCCGGCTGGTCGGTCATATTACAGTAATACACTGTTGCACCATGTCTGCGGCCTGCCTGTGTAGGGGAACGGCTATCTGCTAAGACCATCCGGGCCCGCTCCCCGCACACAGCCACTGTGATCAAAGAGCTTCAAACATTAGGCTTTAGAGCGTTCCCCGTCCTTTGACCTTGACCTTGACCTTGAAAGTCATGACCTAGTGACCTAGAAATCGCTGTCAACCTGCAATAAGGAACGAGGAATCGAATGAGGGCCTTTTAATCAAAATCGGTTCATTGGTTTTTGAGTTATTGCGTTCCCCGTCCGAATATCGAATTTTTAGTTTGATATTCGCGAATATCAATCTGCTGCTCAATTGATTGACGTTTCAAGCGGGCTTTGAGCAATTATCGGGCTGGTTATACCTTCCGTGCGGCGGGCCGGCGGCTGGCCCAAGTTCACCAGACAGCAGCCGACTAGATAGAATACTATTCCGCATCACACTAATGGGTACACTCTCTGATACACCAGGCCTGCCCCGTTTCGGTCCCGGTATGAGCGCGGATTCTGCGCTCAATAGTGCAAAAGGGTGGTCGCTTTGTCTTTAGGCCACACGTTGCACGTGGCACCCCACCTCGAGTGATCACGTGCACTCTCAATGTAAGGCGTTTTGGCCATAACGTTGCCATTTATGGGCCGATTTCGACGAAACTTGCAACATTGATGCATTAAAATGACCTGCGCCACATACGGTCCAACGAATACAGCAAACTGATGTGAGCCGTTTTAGTCTCTAGTGCGTCATTTTAGCTACAGTGGCTGAAGTTGAGGAATATTACGCGTATTTATTTCGACGGTCCGGTTTCGTCGAAACTTGCAACGGTAGTGCACAAAACTAGGCTGCGACACAGCGAGGCATAAAATAAGCTGTTGTGCGCCACTTTTGTCTGTAGTGCGCCATTTCGAAAAAAACGGAATATATATGATAGTCCCTGCGCTCTTTGATATACATACCAAATTTCAGATCGATAGCTCTTTTTTGGCCAAGTTATAGCGAAAAAACTGTTAAAAATTGATGACGTCAAATTTTTGAACTCAATTTTTAACAATTCTAGACCACGTAGCGCAAAACGGTACGACCCCCCTCGCCGTTTCGCCCCTGGTGGAGCTAGCGCGTCGCGGAAAAACGAGAGTATGCGCCGTTACGAGACGCAGAGATTGGTACCCGATTTTAAGGTCCCAGGTCAACCGGTGACCTCTGAGGTCAGGTCAAGTGCCCCAAGGTACGGTTCAGTTTTTAGTGAATAACTTCGCAAAAAACGGCCGCAGAGCCGCGATTTTGGCAGCATCGTGTTCGCATCGCTCAGGCGCGTCGCATGATATACTTTTTGTTTGGGTCAGGTCAACTTAGGGTGTTGCCCTCAGGTCACGGTCAGGTCAGCGCCCCCAGGTCACGAAGTTGGTCAAAAGAGATTATGTCGCATATCATTCGATTCGGCAGGTCTTCTTGAGTCCATTGGTGGCTTTCCCGACTCGCTAGCTCAATTTGATCGGGAGTTATTGACGAAAAACTAATATGACCTTAATGACGTCATAAATGACGTCACGCAAGGTCAACATTGCAAAAGTGACGCATCTAACCTTGCAAGGAGTGCATAAAATCACGATTCTGTGTGCTGGAGATAGTTGGAGATAGTTCCCGGCGCCAGAATAGCAGTTTTTATTTTTCCCCATTGACTTATAATGGTGAGGTCACGAAAATGACCTGACCTCATGTGACCTTTAGTAAAAATATGAGCTATACAAGTTGTGAGACTCCTAATGAATACTAGATCCTGCAAGTTTCATTTCTTTGGGAAAGCTCCTCTGGCAGTGAGGGCGTTGCGAAGTTGCGACATCTGAAGACCGTGCAGAGGTTCACTATGACGTCATCGGTCATAGGTCTGACCTGACCCGAAAATGCGGTTGGTGTCAAAAGATCCGGCTTGAAATCAAAGGTCAGGTAAGCCAAGTTTCAGCTCTCTATCGCCAGCGTGTTCGGAGCTATCGCGATAAAACCCTAGGGGGGGGCGGCACCCCCCCCCCCCTCGGCCGGCGAGGGTTAAATTCATGTTCTAGTGCTCATTTACAGCTAGCAAAAACCTCTTCAACACACAGTGGCCAATCAGTGACGAGAACACTTGTGAGCAGAATCCCTTGCAGCTGATTGGTTGTCCAGCTGTTTGTGCTCATAGCTTTAATCAATAAAACAAAGAAAACCTTCTAGTAGGACTGTGTACTTTGAAGCTAGAATTCATTTCAATTTTATTCCTCACCTTTTTTCCTATTCATAAAGCTTATTCATAAGCTTATTTGTTCGCCGGTCCCGTAGCTCAGTCTGTACTCTGTAGAGCGTTGGACTGCGCGTGGTGAGAGCACGCGTTCCCGGTTATAACAGTCCGGGTTCGAAGCGCGACGGGCGCTTGACATTTATGGGCCTCCTGGCAGGTATGGTTGCGGTTGGTGGCAGGCCGTAGCCAGGCGAAGTCAGTGAGGGGACCGGCCGTGCGCGGCTATGTGCGCACGTTAATCTTTGGACTCTAAATTCTGCCATTGAACCGGAATTGCGCGATCAGAGGGTAGAGGGCAGGGTCACCGCAACAAGCTTCGCTTAGCGGTGGTTCTGTCCTTGTGAATCATTCCTATCAAAAGGTCCGGACTAAATTTGTTTTAAAAAATCACAGAAGGTGAACTATTTCCTTTAACACTCACCTTGCTTCAATAGTGGTATGAAGTTCCTCTTGCGGCAGAGAAGGCACAGCATTTGGCTGCAACTTCAAATATTTACTTGTTGCTATCAAGTCTTCAGTTTTGAAACATAGGCGGCGGAACGGGGAAGACACCGGGGCACCGCGCCCCCTTTGATTTTGGTATTTTAACATAAGCCTTATGGGCGTCCGGCGTTGCATGGAAAGAATGGGACGGACCAAAAGTCGGCAGTGCCCCCCCCCCTTAATTGAAGGTGTTTCGCCGCTGCTTTTTTGAAATGCATACATCTTGAGTTCTGTAAGAATGCCGATGTCCCCTCAGAAGGTCATCCAGAGCTTGCCCCTGAAAATAGGCCAGGTTTAATATAAGGGTGAATTTAAGACTTGCGAATCATTTTATCATTACACTATTATCTCATTTTTGCCTAATTAGTAAGAAATAGGTTTAGGTTAGTAGAAATAAGGTTTTGACTAGACTGCCTGGGTCACAACAGGGGATGACCCACGTGATTGATGGGACTACCACAACCATGGGGCTACCAGGCACCAGCGCTGACATAGTCTGTTCTGACCACTGCACACTGAACTGCATGTCGAAGCTCCATCAATATTTTTTTTTCAATTTTGGTCATCTATCTCTTTGGGTCCGTCATGTCTGTCACCAAAGCCAAATTTGTAACACGATACACTACATCCCCCGCGCCAAGCCAAATCCGCACCACGCTACATGAAATCCTGCACCACACCAGGCTAAATCCACACCGCACCAAATCCTCACCAGCCGGACAAGCTAGCACCTGCCAGATCTCATCGAAATTGTCATGCTTTGCAGACTGGCCTAACTGAACCTGACCTTACCCAACATATGAGGCTGACTGTCCTATGCACTGGGAGCTCATTGAGACCAGCCCCCACAGGCCTAAAACCTGCTCTCCATATGGCAAGGTGAAGTATTTAAGAATGGTGATCGGATATCGAATGTCAGACAAATAGAGAGCATGGGCAGTGGGCGATTCATGCAACTTATGATAATCATGTTTCCTAACCATTTATCAAAGCAAAAACAAAAATAACTACCTATTGCATTCAAATTTCACTGGAACCTCACCTGCATGGATCTTTAGGAAAGATGAAGGATGCATCCATGGGTCACTCATCTTGTTTTTTTTTTCTGCATCCAGGGCACGCAGCACTTCTGGTATTTTTGCCACAACGTACTCGACTGCTGAGCTCAAACGCAAACCGCAATCACGGTCATATAATACTGAATTTTGTCCGCAATGCTTATAAATATCGCGTGTAGCGCAGGATCACAACCACATATGCCTACCTACCTTCATATTGAGATTTCCAGCGGCAATCGCAATGTATATTCGGTACCTATATTCTATCATGTATATTCATATCATCAGGTGTATAAGGTATATTCAATCGATGTAATGTCGCTGCTGCACCACTGCTGTATTGAATTCGCCCCCCTCGTTCCTTCTTCTTCTTCTTTTTGGGACCCCATCGTCACATAGGGCCCTGGGTAAACTCCCCCCCTCTGTCCGTCCCATAGGGGCCTGGGTTGACTCTCCCCTTGTTTTTTTTTTTAATGGGGATGGTTTGGCAAACAAATTATTTCCTGTCAATTAAATAAAAATATATGATTTTTAATGTACCTAAGGGATGTGAGGCATCAAAAAAAAAATGAAACGGGTGTCACAGAAAACGATTGTTTACAATTGAACAGCTGACGACATGCCTCCCGCGTCCCCTGGCTTGAAGCTTCGGCTCCGTGTTACATTAATATCTATGACCGTGGGCTGCGGGAGAGTTCGCCGTGCCATAACTCGGGAATGGCTGAGACGATCGAGTTCAAAGTTTGTTTGTAGTTTTGGCTGGGTGCACACAACACAACACGTATCGGGACCTTAGGACGATTTCGATTACATATGGTCTATAGTCATACCTGATCCATGTTGAGGATGGGGCACATCTCGTAGATTTCATCGGGAGTGACCATTTTCTGCGGGTTTCTCAGGTGCCCCGCTCGGCTCATTTGAAACCTGTTTGAAACAGCATAGACGTTAGTTACCTGGGGGGGGGGGGGGGGGGGGTCATGAAGCGTGAGCCGGCCTCGACCGTTGGACCGGTTTTACTGTCGAAAAAGCGCCGCCTGCGGTAACTTTTATATATTCCCGACCGAGGCTGGGAAAACGCGTTTTATTCACCGAGGTTTTTGTGTGGAGGATCGAGTGCCGGTAGGCACGAGGTCCGTAGCAAAAATCCGAGGTGAATAAATCAGCATTTTCCTACATGCCGGGGTATGCCTTAAGCACAGCACGAGTCGGGCAGTAAAACTATGACCAAGAAACTGCCGGTGTCAAAATGCCATGTTATTTGATAGGCCGGGCAGGAAACAAAAGTTTACTGCCCGGGTTTACTGCCCAGGGCAATGACCTCTAAACTACAGTTTATCACATTAGCCCAGAGGTATAAGTGATAGGGAATGTATAATTGGCATCATTTTTGCATGATATTTGCCGCGTAAAATTAGAAAACTAACATTTTTTTGGTAAAAAAAATATCTGCTCTGCTTATCAAGGGTTTTGAAATGCTTTGTATTGGTTACAAAGCCAAATTTATGGCAAGATATGCTCCTATTAACCCGCGCCCTGGTGGGGTCTGTTTATAACGCGACCTGTAGCCTTTCTCATAAAGCTTTTGTAGAATCTTGTGGGCTTGTGGGTTTGAACACGCACTGGATAACACTGTCCTGATTTATTTTCACACTGTCTGGACACCAATAACCAGAGTAACTCAGTCCACACTTAAATAATCAAGACTATCCAAATGGTTTCAAAGAGTTTGACGCCTTACCCAGCTCAAGATTCTAATATATGCACAATTTTGCTAATTTACTCAAACTTGAACTAAACACTGGTAACTGAAAAATATAGATTCACAATTTCCAATTGTACCCTTTCTAGAAAGCAGGACAAATAAAAATGTCAAATAAAACATGATCAGAACGCAGGGGGCGCTTCGCATTTCGTGACACAACACTCCCCCCAGTGTGACGTCAGGAACACTCAGCCGTGAAGTGTGACGTCAGGAACACTCGGTCGTGGCACCAGGAACACTCAGATGTCCGAACGACCCCGCTCTAGTCATTACTCGGAGCTTCCAGCAGGCAGAGCTTGTTTACGGGGCGCCTGTAGACGCCGTTGGCGGTCTTCACGTCAGCAGAGCGGACTCTGCCGTCAGTACTTGGGTAGACCTTTACCACCCTGGCGAGGGGCCACAGTCCCCTGGGTGTATTCTCGTCTACAATTAAGACGACAGCACCCAGTTGTAAGTTATCAGTTTCACTCTGCCATTTTTGTCGGGAGAGCAGTGTTGGTAAGTATTCCTTTCGCCATCTTTTCCATACGTGGTCTGTGAGAAGTTGGGCTTGTCGCCATCGTCGTGTTCCGATGAGATCGCGCTCACTGAAGACGCCAGGGGGCAAGCCCGCACCGGTGTCGGAGGATCCCAGCAGGAAATGGTTCGGGGTCAATGCTTCAGGGTCACGCTCATCGGAACTGACATAAGTCAGCGGCCTTCCATTCAGCATATATTCCACTTCCACGAGCGTCGTGTGGAGTACGTCTTCTGCAACACATTGGCTTCCAAGCACGACCCTAAGTGCTCTTTTGACGGACGCCACCAGTCGTTCCCATACTCCCCCCATGTGGGGTGATGCTGGGGGGTTCCATTTCCACTCGATGTGCCTCTGACTCAGGTAATCCGTAATTTGACCCTCATTCCATGTCTCGATTTCGTTGCGGATTTCCTTTTCACCGCCAACGAAGTTGGTTCCCCTGTCAGAGCAAATGATTTTAGGCTTTCCTCTTCTGGCGATGAACCGGCGCAGTGCTAGCAGAAATGAATCGGTGTCTAACCCAGCAGCTAATTCCAGGTGCAGTGCGCGTGTCGCCAAGCAAGTTACGAGGAGTACAAATCGTTTCTCCGTCTTCCTGAATTTGCGCACCAGAAGGGGACCAAAGTAGTCAATCCCTACAGAACTAAACGGACAGCTCTGATCAAACCGGACGTCAGGAAGAGCGGACATCAGCGGAGCCGTAGGGCGTGACCGGCGATTTCTGCAGTAGCTGCACCCGTAGATTATCTTCTTAATTGCTCCTCTTGCTTTTGGCATCCAGAACCGCAATCTGAATTCGTTCAGGGTGTGCTGGAGGCCAGAGTGCATGAGCCGCTCATGAATATCGCGCACTATGAGTCGCGTCAGATCACTCCTTGGCGACATAATGATCGGGTGTTTGGCAGGATGTGGCACCGGGGCGCGACCGAGACGACCGCCAACCCGCAGAATACCTTGCGGGTCCACGTAAGGTGACATGTGGGTCACACCAGGAACATGGCATATCTGATCTTCGCGAATTATATGAAATTCTGCCTTCTCCATCTCGGCACTTGATAGGAAGCTGGAGTTGGGTATTTCGGTTTGTTTCTTCTTTGCTTTTAGCTTTTCCACAAACCGTATGACCCAAGCAAAAATTCTTCTGTATTTGGTGTAGGATGAAAATCGTTCCGTGTCTAGCAGTTTGCGTTGGGTATTGGTGGTGAGCACAGCGACCACCACCGGCGGTACCTTCACCTCTACGTCAGCAGGGTCAAGATCAGGAGTCACCGAAGACCGTACCGGCCACTTGTCCCTATCGACCTCCAAAAATTCTGGCCCTCTCCACCACACCTTCAGGTCTTTCAGTTTTGACAGAGATGTTCCACGGGAACCGACGTCTGCGGGATTATCCTTTCCTGAGATGTGACGCCATTCTTCTACCTTTGACGACCCATGTATCTCGGAAACTCTATTGGCAACAAACGTGTGGAAACGACGGCTTTCGTTTTGAATATAATGCAGCACTATCTTACTGTCACTCCAGAAGACAGTTTCATCAAATGTGTAGGTCATTTCTCGCTTTATCGTGTCAGCCAGTCTCACAGCCAGGACGGCGGCCTGCAATTCCAGTCTCACTATCGTGAGCTGTTTGAGGGGTGCGAGTCGAGCGCGTGACATTGCAAAGGAACTTGTCTGTTTTCCTTGCGCTGAAATGATGCGAATGTATGCGACAGCAGCAAAGCCGTTCTCACTTGCGTCGCAAAATACATGCAACTCGCTGCGATAGAGCTCGCACTCGAGTCCTTGAACTTCGCGCAAGTGCTTTGCTTGCGACAGCCAATGCTCGCATTCTTCTAATTCATCACCCGTCAACTGATCATCCCATGCATACTTCAAGGCCCAGAGCCTCTGAATCAGCAACTTGGCCTTCAACGTGAACGGTGAGACGATGCCAAGAGGATCGAAAATTGATGCGACTCCCTGCAGAAGGCCTCGCTTCGTCAGAGATGTCACACAAATTTGGGACGGGATTCCAAGAACGTCTCTGGACGGAAACCAAACGCAGCCAAGCGCCCGTTCTTGGTGCATGTCGTCCTTGTATGCCTCAGGATCTGGGTGAGCGCGCTCTACAACATCTATTTGCCTCAAAACTTCAGCGCTATTACTAACCCATTTTGTGAAACGAAATCCTCCCCGTGCCACTAGCCTGGTAACTTCCCTTTGCAATTTTACCGCTGTTTCCATGTCTGACTCGGATCTCAAAAAGTCATCCATGTAAAAGTTTTGTTTCACTGCCAGAACAGCAGCTGCTGAGAGGAGCGTTCCGTCATAATGGTCTTCTGCTGTTTTGCGCAGGACGTCACTCGCAATAGCCGGACTGCATTTCATCCCGAAAACACTCACGGTCATTTTATATACTTCAGGCTCCCTGAAAGTGTCTAAATTTCGCCAGAGAAAGCTCATTGCAGGTTGGTCATCTTCAATGATGCGAATCTGGTGAAACATTTGCTCTATGTCGGCCACCAAGGCTATCTTCTCCTGGCGAAACCTGAGTAATATCCCAGTCAGATTTTGCAAGAGATCTGGTCCCTTTAAGAGCTCGCTGTTCAATGACTTCCCATGATAAACTGCAGCTGCATCAAAGACGACTCGAATTTTCTTCTTATTCGGGTTTGTCACCGCGTGATGCGGGAGGAACCAACGTTTCCGACTGGAATTACCATTCAGCTCTTCCTTAGGTACCTTGCGGGCATGGCCCTTTTCAATGTAGCTTTGTACGGCTTCCTGATAGGCCTTTGCCTTTTCAGGATGGCGCAGTAGGTTTTTCTCGAGCGACTGTAGCCTTCGGACCGCCATGATTTTGTTTTGGGGCATAGTAACCTCTGGGTTTCGCCACAAAATACCAACTTCATACCGATCTCCACATTTCTTAGCGGTACTTTCCAACAGCGCTTGAGCTATGGTGTCCTCCCGGCTTGAATTGTCACCCCCGGAGAGCGTCCCAAATGATTCTGTCGCCCACCATTGTCGTATAATTTCTACAAGCTGTTCATCTCCGTCCGTATGCTCAATGCACATTACTTCTCTGGTCGTTTCCGGGATAAAGTCAGTAACTGAACCTGTGATTGTCCAGCCAAACGCTGTACGTATAGCAACTGGCTGACCAACATCCCCAACTCGTACTTCTTTCTGCAATACGGCTTCCAAGACGTTTGCACCGAGAAGTACTTCAATTTTTCCCTGTGTACAATCCGGGATGGGCAAATCTTGTAAATGTTTCCACCGGGACATATCTCTTGCCGAAATCGTTGGTGTTCTATTATATACACCAGGAACGGAGAATGCTTCAGAGACCAAAATTTCTTCATCGTCCTCCCCAGTCAATGGGCGCAAACGCAGCTGAAATTTCTTCGAACGCCGAGATGGCCCGATGCCTCCAATGTGTTTCTGCAGACACGCTACCGCTCTCTGTTCTTGATTTTCTTCCTCGGTTTCGCGCGACTCGTCGTGCAGTAATTTGTGATGATTTTGATCGCAGCCATTGATTCCACATTCTTCTTTGTGCCTACAGTATCTTGCCAGATGACCTTTCTTTAGGCAGGAAAAACATCGTCGGTTTGCAAACACAAACTGAGCTCTTGCCCGAACATTCATCTGGAT